TCAAAGTGGATTATTCCTTGGCGATCCCACCAAATTGAAAGAACCTTTTGCCCATGAAGTTCCCTTCTCGGCTGGGGTCCTTCCCCTTTACCAATCCACTGTCTACAATGCTTAACATTTCGATAAAAGATACATTTTTCGTCACAAGTCTATCCAAAAAAAGGTGAAACAAGTTGGTGAGAAGAGCAGATGTCAACTCAGGATTTGAGGTTGTTTTCAGACAATTCATGAGGCACCCATTTTCCAAGTTTAGGAACTTTTCCAAGTTGTTGAAGATGACAATGAACAGTTGTATGGTTTGAACTGAGAACCACTGCCAATTCCTCAACTGATAAAGCAGGATTTTCTTCAAGGGCTGCTTCAAGAAGCTTTTCATCAAACTCAACTGGACGTCCGGTTCGATCTTCATCTTCAAGAGTGAAATCTCCACCTCTGAATTTTGCAAACCATCTTCTGCAAGTTCTTTTATTCACACATTCCTCTCCATAAACTGAGTGAATGTTTCTAGCTGCTTCGGCTGCTGAGTTTCCTTTCTTGAACTCATAAAGCATGATGTGCCTCAAATGATTCTTGGGTACCATGTTAGCAAGGTTTTAATCAAACAAAATTTAATTTTTATTGTGAAATAAAATTTGATCAGTTTAAATGCATAAAAATAATGTTCAGCTCCATTACACATTATAAAATACTCTTTAAATTTTGTTCATTTTAACAAAAAGTTAAAATCCAGACAGAACTTATGGGATGACCTGATATTAATGTGCTTATTGTTTACTCCTTTTAATACGTCTAAGAATCTTACTAAATCAACTGATTTAGTTTTTATGGCAGGCTTTTACTCCTTTTCTTTTCTTTTTTTTTTTTTTTTTTATATCAGGGAATTTGCTGCTGCTATTTATCAACTTTTTATTTCCCAAAAAAGTTTGTAAAATAAAACCTTTAAGCATGATGTTAGGTATTCAGGTATTCAAGCAAATCAAATTTCTTTTCTCACAATTTACAAACTAGGTTTAATGTCAGTAAACAAAGATTAAATTTATCTGGAAAGGTTTTATAATTTGAAAAAAGGCTAAAAAAAAAACAAAAACTTTTGGTTTCTAATGTGAACTATTAATCTATGCATCATTTAGACTACTATGCTCATCTTTTTTCTTTTAATACACATACTGCCAGGTTTTATAATGTGGTGTTCTCTGAATCCTATCTATACTTGTTTTCTAACTTTTGTCACTACTACAATTGGATTAATTCAAGTACCAAGAATTTCTTGATTTAAAAATGTCACATGCAATAAATAAAAACTACCAAAAGAGATGAAAATGCTAGTCTGAATAATTCAGAAAATGATCTACATTAAAAAAAAAAAAAAAAAAAATAGAGATCTCAAACAGGAATTTTAAATGTTGCTCCCATCTTAATGTTAATTATTCTAGGAGTTACATGCACTTAAAATTGGCATTAAAGGTCAACTTGAAATCATTAAATTTTTAACTTTTAATTGGGAGCAAAACATCTTATGCATAAATAGTGGGGGGGGGGGAATTACCAAACTTCAGACTTGTTTCACTTTAAATTTATGTTTATATATACTTATGTTTTTGATTAAATTATTGCATTTAATAGTTGTGGGAATAATATTAGGTTTTAATTGTAAATTTGCCTGGGATGGGATTCTTCCAATATATCGATAAGCACAAAGTTATGAAAGTTATCAAAAAAATAAATTTAAAATATTCAGCTATTGTGAGCTTTTCCAGCTTATCTCACATGATCTTTATGGAATTTAATAAATTATAGGACATTTCTTTTTCACTTTAAACTCACTTTAATTATTAAAAGTAGAGGAAATTTGATTTGCCTTCAGAAAGGAATAGATATCCATTAATTTCAAAGTTCTTAGTTGCTTACACTCAAAATTTCAATGTTTGAGATATAAAAATGATAGTTTAGGTTTAAATCTTATAAATTAAAGATAATTTCTTTTCGTGAAAAGGATTTGATATCTATACTAAAAGAGATACCAACTATTACTTAGGATAGGGATAACTTCAAATATAGCACAGAAAATATATTCTTTATAAAACAAATGATGTAACTCCAAATTATGATGGGGCCTTGGGATGCAAAATACTAGTGCTTCTCGCATTGTATGTGAGTATAAAAAAGATTGTTATAGGATCCAACTCTAGAAAAACAGAACAGAAAAGCTGGTCATGAGAAAAATCATGAAGATGTCAGGTGATCTTAGATTGTGCCAAGTTATTTTGCACTGGGAACTGAAATCTTTTGAATTCAAAGAGCAAATCTGTTAGAATTACACTTTTTATTTTTACATTTAAAATTGCTAAAAAGGCTATTTTAATTGAAAATTAATCTCCAATAACTTCTAATTCTATCTCTTGCCTTACCACTTTCAACTTCACATAGTGTGTCTGAGTACTTATACCAAAAATTATAACATTGGGCTTTCATTTGAATGAGATTGTAGTATATAGATGTACATTGAAGTTTCAATTATTAGTATAGATCAGTGTTTATCAAAATGGATTATGTGATACAAAGTGTTTTTTTTTTTTTTTTTTTTTTTTTAATAGCACTTATTTTTCGTTTTTAAATTTACAATGGTATTCATCATTTTTAAAATAAGCAGTTTATATGAATAGGCATCTTAAATTTGATAAAATAGTTATAATTAAAATTTAAAGCAAGAATAACTGGTAATTTTCCTTTTGTGTTTTCATTCCATAAGACATTAAAGAAGTTTTTCACAAAACCAAAGTCTCTTGGGATTGACAGCATAAATTATTGCAAGGAATATATATTGGATATCTTAACATCTTGATATAGTTATCTATATTTGGTTAAATTTTAACTAATTAGCTTTTCATTGTTTTTAAAGTTTTGTGGAATTTTTTACTTTTCATTAGGAATGTTGACTTAACACCCGATTGGTGTCAGCCTAGAATTTCTTCTGTCATGATTGAAATTTTGTGTTTGTACCATCATAGAACCTTTTTAAAATACGTTTTTCAAATGGGTGTTCAAAATATGCTTTAGAGAATACTGGTGTTTGTAGTGAAACCACAGCATTATCACAAGACAAGGTTGCAAAACCTGTACAAATATTAACTTCTAGTTTAACTTGTTAAGTCTTCCAATTGTGCCTATATATTTATGAAAACAATGTAAATATAGTGTTGGTTATGTTGTTTGGCTCTTCTAATGTGGATGTAGATACTTTTTGTTTATTTTTTTAGCACTATAGGGCAAAAATTGTCTCTTTTTTTTTTTTTTTTATAAAGAATTTCTTTAATTCAAAATTCTAAAAGGGGTTTACTTTTTGAAAAGTTTAAAATGTTCATGTATAAAACATCTTCATTGATATGATTTGGTAAATATGTTGAAGCTCTCACTTTCCCCAAATGTATCAATGACTTTAGTTTTAACATTATGAAGATGTGGGTAGTCTTCACAAGTTTTTACAAAAGTTAAATGGTTATCACAAAGTAATATTATTGTAAGATTGAATTGCGGAAAGAATTTTTGACACATGTTATTTCTTTTATGCAACAGTAGCAAATATGGTATGGTTTTCAAAAATTGCATACTTAGTTAATATTTTTGCAAGATTGAATGAGCCATATTTTTTCAAGCTAAAGGTAAAATGATAAATTGCATTACTAGCTCTCAACTATAGAAAAAATTACTTTTGACTTTTGCAATTCTTAGTAACTTCCATCTAGAATTGGATTTAGAGCTTGTAAGCGATCTGACATCAGCTTTTTCCGTTGAATCCTTATCTTCCTGTAAATAGTCTCTTAAATTGATATTTTACTTTTAAAAACTTCTAAAAGTATTTAGCCAATTTTTCTTTACTCCCTGCTTGTTTTTATATTTTTTTTATATATCTATTTATTATAAAATGAACTTAAATTATTTTGTGAGGAGATGGCTCAGATTAGGCATATGCTTTTAATTTATTATTTTTAGTGTCCTAAAGCTTGCACAGTTTTAGATTCTCTTCAAATCTGAATTCCTGGGAATTTTAATTTGATATTTTTGGGGCAATTTTAATTATTATAATTAGCACTTGTCCTATATGCATTTGGCAAACTAAAAACACAGATTTCAATCTTCTATATATCTTTTCAATTTTTTTTTTTTTTTTTTTTATTTCTCAATGAAATTATCATATAGTTGAGAATGATCAGTGTGTCCATTCTCAAATGTATGCTTATAACCAAAACATTTTTGAAAGAGGCAAAGATACACAATCTAAAATATGAAGTAATTACAAAATAAAAATTGATCAAAGCCACATGTGGCATGTCAGTTTTTTATTTTTTGTATGTTTTTATTTTCTTGTCTCTAATCCACTCACTATGCTCTCACACACACACACACACACACACACACTCACTCACTCACTCTCCTGGAATATATTTTTATTCATTCAGTTGGTAAAGAAATGGCTCTTCCAGTTCTCTGCAGCATCTGATTTCTCATAACATATGCTGTAATAAACATGGGGAATTCCATAGCTTAAGTTTGTTTTTTTTTTTTTTTTTTGTTGTTTTTTTTTAATTAATTTGATAAATAATATTTGAAATAAGGGAACGCTGGAAAATGGATCTTTTAAAGCATTGCTAAAATGTATTTATTAAGAAAAAAAATTGTACAATGCTAGAAGCACATTCATCCTTCTCCACTAGCTATAAAAAAATATGCACAAACAGTGATGTACCGAAGTGTGTGTATGCATGTAATATACCTACTTGGCTTACCTTTATATACTGAGTTTTAAATTGATTATTGTGTATGCAGTGTTTGTATAAACAAAATGAAATGAATGCTTTTACAAAAATAAGGACCAGGAATGCCATTTCTTCTACTATAATATCCTAGACTATCACAAATTTTTCATCTGAGCTTTGAACTGTTATATATTGTGATTTCTGGTAACACTGCAGTTTCAACTTTAATCCCCTACTACTCAACAGGATTTGCTGGGAGGTATTGTCAAAAAGACAGACAGCCCCTCTACACTAGCATGGCCACATCATCTTTGGAGACTCGTTAAGGTGTGTACAGCATTTTGTTTTGCATCAACAACTGCCAGCTATTGTGCTGATAGTTAGGGTTTACTAATTAATCTATGAATACCTTCTTTTTTTTTTTTTTTTTTTTTTTTCTTTCCAGATTTTAATTTCTTTATGTAGAAATTTTACAAGCTTGTTAATGGATATAGTAAACTTAAAAATGAACTGATTCTTAAAAGCTTTTTCAAACATTAATTAAACAATGTTTTTAATTTTTATATATAATTAACAAGTGTAGAAATGTTTCTTTTTTATTGATTTTTATTTTTCTCAAAGAATTTTAGTTTGCTTCATCTAAATATCTTTCTTGATCATTTACTACAAATACTTACTACTTGTTTAGGATTATGTAATAAATTTATAAGTATGAATCAAGTACCCCAACAATCATACTGCCCAACTTTTATATCTACTAGTCTAAGTTGGGTGCAATCTGGAATAAGTCATATTGGCCTAGTTAGAAAAGTTAAGGCTGCATAAGTATATGTAAAAGAACCTAAAGAAAGATATCAAAAGGTCTACAAATGCTTTTAAAAAGGGACTTCTACAGAACACTTTTCAGAATGCACTGAATTACCTTCAGCATCAGGCTAATACTGCCAAATATAACTGCTGGGCAGACTATCAAGGATGGATTACCATTGACTTTTTAAAACACTTTCAATGACAACCTCTGTTTAATAAAACTAGTACCACTATAGAAATTCACAAATTACCTGAAAAAGGTCCTCATTACTTGTTGAATTGACTACTACAAATTGGAAGTAGGTGCCATTGAAATGGCACCACAAGGTCTTCCAAGTTTGATCTCTTACTGAATCCAACCACTATATGAGCAGAGGGAGATACAACACTGACCTTGGTGTTTCTTCTGCATCCATTATGGTAAAATCTATCTTGTACAGGCTTTGAGTAGCCACTGGTAGCTTTGTAAGTTCAAGCCATGATAAATTTAGCTAGAAATTACTTTAAAGAACAGTGAGAAAATATTGTAAACTACCTTTAGTTCCCAACGGTAGGAAAATATAAGCTTTTATATTATATGCATCATAATATCATGTGCTTAGACTTTAAAAAATATTTTGTTAATCTTAGCCTGTTCAGTGATATAAAACAAATTGAAAGAAAAAGGCCCATGTATACAAGGAGGTGCTGAAAAGTTCTCGGTTCAACCCAAACTTCTCTCTTATGATTTCAAATGTTAAAATCTCGTATCTTGGTTGTATAAAATGGAGATAATGGTTCCCAATTTATCTACGTTCACTTTCCCTGAATTTATTTACAGTCAACATTAAAGTAGTTTTGCTTAATGATCTCAAAGTACAAGAGTAAAGCTGCTAACAATTTTGAAATTTGCTTCTGTCAAGTGAAAAAGTTAAATTTTTTGATTTAATAAGGAGTGGTCATATGCTGAGATTGTTTGTTTGTTTTTTTTTTTTTTTTTTTTTTTTTACTGAAAATCTTATGTCACATAACTTGTTACAGTGCACTGTTATTATTACTATTATTATTAGTTAATCTCTAAAACCTAAGTTATAACTGTAGAGGATGTGTGTGTGCTCAATACTATCAATTGGGGGTCTTATCACAGATAAGAGGAGAAATATTCATTTTAAGCATTTTTCATAGTTTTTTTTTTTTTTTTTTTTTTTTTTTCCCAAAATTTCACTATTTACTTATTTGAATATTAAAGTTTTTGTTTTTCTATCTTCAAGCATTGCTATTTGTCTATTTCTAATCAATGTTTAAAGTTTAGAATTGCTTGCAAGTTTTCTTCGTTTTTTTTTGTTTTTTTTTTTTAAGAAATCTTGGGATTATGAAATATGGACATACTGACCAATAAATAGTGCTTGTTTTATTAGCAGTCACTCACATTTTGTCTACTTTTTTAATTGCATTCTCAAAACATGAATGCACTTGTTATACTTTTTTTATTCTTAAGCTGTTACTTTTTCTTGTCAGCTTTTTTTTTTTTTTTTTTTTTTTTTTTTTACTGTGTGTGGCCCTAAAATTTTGGGGTGTTATATAATCTCTTAAGGTATTTCATTGCATGTGAGAATGTAGGAAATATTATATACACTAGAATAATGCACTAGAGTTGATGCAAGGTTTTCAATTTTTGGTTGCCTTGGAAAAGTTTTTTAATTTTTTGCTGATTTTCTATAAACTTCTGCTTAGCCTGTTTGTTCTTTTACTGTTATTTCTGTTAATTGCATTATGAGCTACTAGTAGTAAAGGAGGTCTTTGTGGAGATAGTCAAAACCAACTTCATATTTGGTCAGTTGGTAATCTTTATTCTCATGGAAATAAGATTTCATAAGTATTGTTTACAAATTCTAGTATTTACCCTGTTAAGTGATGAGTCTATCATCCATAGATGTCTGATTGTTCAGCTTACAGTGGTCAGTGGTAGTATTTCCTGCAAACTTATAAGGCTAGTAGGTCCAGGAATTCTTCATGTAGAGTAGCAAAGGAAATGGCATTTTTGTCCGCTATTAGTCTCCTGCTTTGGTCATCTTTTCTTTTATTCTCTTTGCAGTTTCTATTTCAGTATCTTCTCTAAACCTTTTTCTTCTTTGCTTTAAGGAATAACTAGGTTCAACTGTAAGATTGCAGTCATAAAGATCATTAAATTTACTAATGCTATGTATTAGGGACTGATTTGCTCATTTCACAAAATGCTTTCAACTCGCATTGCATGTTGCCTAACTGATGACAACCATACCTGTTGATTCAGCAAGATTTTTTTTTCACACTGGCTTCATTTAGGCATTTACTGACAATTGATTGCCAAAGTGTTAGTGACATTTTGTTTGTGTGTGTGTTTTTTTGTTAATTGCATTGTTCATTGTTATAGTTTTAAAAAGAATATGGTGAGGGGTGTAGATTCAAGGCTCGGAAATTAATTTCCTGGGGAAACTATTATCTGAAAATCTACAATGGCCGTTTCCTCCAGTAAAATCCATTGTAGTTTCAGCTAAAGTTAGTGAGTCTTTTTTTTTTTTTTTTTTTTTTTTTTTTTTGTTGTTGTTGTTGCATTATGGGAAAAATTTTAACCAATCCCTCTGGGATTGAGATATTAACTTTCAAAACTACAGTCTTCATTGCAGCTTTTTAATAAAAGAAAAGAATTTATAAATAAAAACATTATTTTATTGCAGTTTTTATTTCCTTATCTCTTGGTTATTTTCCACATTTTGTATTGGAATTGGGAATAAAGTTTCAGCTAACTTTAATTTCTCTAAGGGCTTTTATTTTTTTTTTTTTTTTTTTTTTTTTTTTTTTTTTTTTTAAAAAGGATTTTTAGTCCAGTCATTTTCTTGAGAATTTGTTAAAACTTAATTGGTTGACATTTAAAGGAAAAAAAAAAATCCCAGAAATTCTCTTATGGCAAAGATTTTATTGAGACCCCTTTTGACTTAAATTTAAATAAGGGAATGACTCCCACCCAAAATGTGGAAGGAGAAGGACGTGATGGAGGTCGCATGGACAAGATCATGAAATGCATTATTTTTCTTCACAAAATGTGTAACACTGCAACAAGGTGCAGGTAATTTGTGTGTGTGTGTGTGTGTGTATATATATATATATATATATACACACACACACACACAGCAGCTGAAATGTGATATTTGTGGTAGGGCATGCTGGTTCAGGAGCAGTTTCCTACAACATTTTAAATTGCATGATAATGTACCACCCACTGTTGGTCCTCTTAAGTGCCCTGTTTGTACCAGAGTATGTATAGGTCCCTTGCTGGGCTAAAGTGCCACATTCACTCAGCACAGCACACCAGTAGATTTTCTCCAAAAGATATGAAGTAATGGGCGTACTCAGGCATAAGTTGGCAACCTGCACCACACACACACACACACACACACACACACATATATATATATATATATATATATATATATATATATATATATATATATAATCTCAAATATTGATTTTTTTTTTTTTTTTTTTTTTTTTGCTATCCATCAGGATATTGGGATCATCAATATGATTATTAGAGGAGCTGGCTTGTTAACACGCTTTAGTATCTTGTGATATCTCTGACTAAAGAGTACAAGGGTTGCTCCAGAAGTAAGGGCTCCTATTTTAGGTTGCTATGGCAATAGAGATTAAACCATCCTGCCAATAATTCTTTTAACACTTTGTTAAAAATAGCAACTGAGCAGTAGTCCGGAAAAATAGTCACTTACATAAAAGTGCATACAAAACAGGTGTGCATTTTTGAATTTCTCTATTCAGAAAAAAATTTGCTGTTAGACATTTATCAATATTTGATTCACCAAACCAAACAGCAGATGTGAGTAGTATTTTGTCAATGGCAATAGCTACATTCTAGGTCTGCACAGTACTTGTTTATTGCCAGTGAAAATGCCTATTCAGTGGTGGGATCTATGGAAAAATAGTTCTTTGCAGCTGAAAACTTACTCTTCAATCTTGCTCCCTGTATCTGTTGTAGTTTCCATGGGAATAAATAGGAGGCATAAATCTTGGCACATTCCTTATAATCCTTTTAATGTAGCTGATGTGAATTCTGAAGTGCTTTGCTATATTCTTCAAATGTTTAACAAGAGAATACTCATTACAAAAAGCTTTCTCTTGGAAAATTTTCTGTAAGTTATGTAGACTAAATTGTTGAGAATATTGCTCTCAATGAAAGTACAAGGCTTCTATGTTTGTACAATAAACACATTCTTTTGACTTAGCTCTGATCTCTCTTTCTCAGGAGAAAACACTGACATGGATTTGAAGAAAAATATTCCAACCATGTTTGCAGTTGTGACATTTTGGAGGCAGGTGCAAAGCTGTTTGGCTTTTATCAAAATTAGGTTCTTCAACAGAAACTCAATACCTAATGCTTAAAAATTAAAAATCTTTCTTGAAGCTTTTATTTTAGTTTGAATTTCAAGCTAATACATTAAATTTAATATTTCCAATAAACAAAATACTTTGTTGTATTTCAAAAC